CAGTCTATCACCAGCAAATGTCCCATATCCTCATTCTCTTCTCTGAACATTCCTGTCATCTCGCTATGAAGGAAACCTGGCTGTCCCCTGATGTTGTCACTTCCCCTGCTGTCTTTCCTCTCATGCACAGTGGCCTTGGAATGGCCAGTGTCCACTTTGCTTCCCACCACCACTTTCTAACCACTCCTCTTCCTCCTTTCTTCCAAAGACCCAGATCCTTTTAAGCTTGTGCCATCAGATTCTACTACCTTCCTGGTATCCTCACCTTTCCACTCTTCAAAATAACTATTTCACATCTTCTCCTCTCTCCCTAAGCCTCCTCTGACTCCTTTCCCCCTAAGCCTCCTTGAGACCCTGTCTCTCCATACCCCACACTTAGCTGATGAAATTGCCTTATTAGGCCTTTAAGTCCCAATGAAAAAATGTGTGTGTTCCCCCAGCAGGGGCACATTTTTAATAATATACAACCTTGCTACTCAAAGTGTAGTCTTCAGACTAGTATCACCTGGAAGGTTGTTAGAAACGCAGAACATCTGGCCTCACTCCAGGCCTACTGGATTAGAATCCCTAGGTGATTTGTTAGCCCATTAAGTTTTGACATGTCCTGATATACACACAACCTAATCAACCCGGGCCCCTTGCTGACCACCAAGGGGTCAGCCTTCCCAGCTACTGTGATCTGGGCTTCAGCTTCTACATCGAGAAGTAATTCTATCCCCTTAAATCTTCCTACCATCGAAACCACTGACTTGCCGACAATTGCACTGATGCATGACCCCTACTTTTACATGGATGAGGAGCCCCAGCTCTGCTCTTCCTAAAGACCAAACCCTCTTCTCATGCTCGGAACCCATTCCCTAGGGCCAAACAACTGCAAAGCATTTGTCGTCACCACCCCAGGGAACGAGGGTCCACTGGCCACAGCACAGCTGTGATAGGGAGCACACTGACAGCTCATGTGACAACTGAGAACTTCGAAGTTGCTTTGAATAGGGGTTTTGGACAAGATCAGCTATTTGCAATGTGAGATTCCAGAAGGAAAAGTCCTTGTGTCTTCTTAAAGGATCAAAAGGGTGGAAACTATGTTCTGTAATTCCTGTGAGCCATGAAAAAGGATGTGCATGGTTCAATGCTAGAAAGTTCAGGCTAGAACCCATAAGAGGGTTGCAGGCTGCTGAGCGAGATTTAACACCCATTCAACCAACCCCAGCATTTGCCCCTCACGTAATCGCTTATGGCCAGGGAATATGGCGGTGCTCCCTTCTCCCACCACCTTGGCCCAGGGGCACTCCTTCACATTGCTTCAGCTGCTACTCGGTGCTGGAAGCAGCAGGAGGTGAGATAAGCAAGGAGCAGATCTGCACACAGGCGCGGGCACACACGTGTGGGCCAGGACAATCTGCTAGCGGGCAAAGGCAGGAAATGAAGTCTCCACTTCTTTCCAGTTAAGGAAATCAGAGCACCAGCTCCCATGGGAGAAATCAAAGCAGTATTGTTTCAAAGAACTCAGCAGTTCAGACAAGAACAAAAGTTTTGGCATTGATCTTGGGAGAAGATACTATCATGGACACTCCACCCAACTTAGATGAATCCAGACTGTCTGGAACTAAAGACCAACCTACAGGCTCATTTATTAGAATTATCCTCAAGAGCAGTGATCTTTCAGTAGTTTGACTAACATTCAGTGCGTTCAAAATGGCCAAAATGAGAACTAAATCAGGTGAGCAATAAGAACAGTCAGGCTCATTTATTAGAATTATCCTCAAGAGCAGTGATCTTTCAGTAGTTTGACTAACATTCAATGCGTTCAAAATTGCCAAAATGAGAACCAAATCAGGTGAGCAATAAGAACAGTTCCTAAGAAACAGCAAACTTACAGTTCACAGCCACACCGAGCGTCTGGCAGCGCATTTGCCCTTGGCCGCCACATCTGTGAAGGGGCACATGGACTCCAATCAAATGACTGCCATTGACAGTTCAAGTGTAAACATGACTCCACAAAATGACTTTGCTAAAATACATAGTAGGAGAGAAGGGTGAAGCTACCAGAGACCTCAGAGCCGGAGTCCAATCCTTTTCCACAACCCCTGTTTTTAGATAAGAAATTCAGTTTTAAGAAAAAAATATAAATTAGCACCTACTTCTTGCCAAGTCTTATGATTAGCCCTTGGAAAATAGATGAAAAAGATTTAAGCCCTGTCCTGAAGCTCATTGTCTGATGGGGGCATATAAACAGATTGTTTCAATCAATATAGTCTGGGTCATGCAGGGCAGAGGAACCCGGCACAGCTCAGTCTCTACGGTAGCACATAACAATAACCAATGTGCATCATTGAAAGGTTAAATCCCAGATAGGCGTAAATATTTCCCTCAGAAGTATAATATGTGGGAAAGAAGAGGGGTGCAATTAAGAAAGGGTACACAGGAAACCTCTGATAGGGTAGAGGCGTATTCTTTTTATATTTTATTATATCGCATATTCTTCTATGCACATGATAAAAAGCATGAACGAAGCTGAGTCTTTGACAACTCTGAGACTTCTCTGATTGAACTGCATTGGCCTTTCACCAGTTCTCCAGATGTCCAGTTACAGGGTATGATTATCTTTCCTTCTTGTGAAATTAGTTTGAAACAGTTTTCTGTGATTTCTCACCAAAAGATTCCTAATATAGGGCTATAGAGTGCAGCCTTTTAATAACTTACTTGACTATGGTATTCTTCCTTAAGGATATCTTTTGGGACTAGTGTGTCCTGGAAAACACTCTGGGGAACATACTGGATTAGAGATCTATTCAGGAGACAGAAATGACAAAAGGTGAATTCACAAATTTAATAATTTCTGAATAAGACACCTGAAACTCCAGCCTCAGATGCCTAAGACCCAGTAAGTGTTCTCTTCACTACTTAGCTGTGGACTTCATGGACAAGTATGGATTTCCCGTGGGTGTTACAGAAGTGGCAATCTAGAACTGATCAAGGCAAATGCATAAAAAGTTGAGATTTTTTCAAAACTCAGTATTTTAAAAATGAAAAATGTTACTAAAAACATTTCTGCTATGAAGCAGAATGAAGAAAAGCAAAAAATAACAAATACATACATAACATTTCATAAGCAAAAATAGAATGTATCTGTATCTATGAAAAATAAGGCCTGAAATAGCAGACACGGTTTTCAATTACTTGAAACAGAAACACAAGTTACTAATGCAGTTGAAGTAGAGACACTTTATATTAAAATTTCTGCAAAGACCCTGGATTATTAAAAGGATCACAACCTTATTTTATAGATAGCGACACAGGCTGAAAAGTGAATTGTTTAGTTGTCAGTGTGAGTTAGTGGCCAGGAAGCCTTCCTATCACCAGCGCCTGATAGAGAGTGAAAATCTCTGACAGCAGGCTGCAGTCTGTTGATTTGCTTGACACCAACTCAGAGGAATCACTGAGATCTAGACACACTCGATTTGCCTGTAGCGCATACCCTTTCTTGTGTTCTTAATGCTACTATGGGAAGCATTACCACTTACCTGTGCTGGTCTAACACACCCAAAAGACCAGAGCATCAGAAACCACCTTTAGGAAAAAGCTGCCCTGATCATATGCTCCAATTTCCAGTGTGAGGAAATGACATTCTTCATTAAAAGGTCTTCCTTGCCTCTACTGGCTCCCAGGGACAGAAATTGTTCATTAGCGGAATCAAAACAAGGGATACTTTAAAAGCTCCAGGAAAGTCATATTTCCTGGAGATTAAAAATATTTTGCTGAAAGGGAACTATGAAAAAGCAAGAAGTTTTAAAAGGATGATCCATGAAAGAGTAACTGACCTAGTCCCCACTTGGTTCATACAAACTGTGCTTTGATGAATAGTGTCAGACATTCAGAACTGATTCAATCGTATGGGAATTTACAACATGCTCATCACTTAATCTATCCTAACTCATAATCCTCACAATAATCCTGTGAGTTAGGAATAGTCTTTTCCTATAATGGAATAGTTGTCTGCTTAGAAAACTTATAAAAATAGTAATTTCAGTGGGGGAAGGGTTTTAAAGTTTCATATTTGGAATAATAGAATGGTTTTTCTTGCATAAATTTCTACACAAATTAAATTTAATAGCTTGAATTTTATGGTTGTGGTTCTTGGTCTAGTTCTGAGTTAACATCAAGGACAATGCAAATCATATTCTCTAATTCTGACAGATCCAATTGATATTTTCAAAACTTACAGTGTAAGAGAAATGGTTTGATTGAGATGAAGAAAGTGGCCTCTTTAGGCGAAGTAACTTGGCCAAGGTCACATGGCTTGTCAAGTGTCATGAAGCAATATTCCAACACAGAACTCCTGACTTCCAGCATCTCTGCTCTTAACCATTTATTACACTGCCTC